TCTTACGATGAATGCTCACACTTAGCTAGGTGTCACATTAATAATAATAAGTTAAGTGTGGAGTCGCGCTTGGGTATAGATATTAAAATGTTGCCAACAAACAAATTACCTGAGATTTATTGGCAATCTTTCATAGCAATTTGAAATGATGTTATCGGCTTTTGTAAGACTGTTACGATTTCCTTTATCAAATAGGTACGATGATATAGATGCGATAAGATTTGTAGTGATTTTTAAACATTGTTCGATTTTTGCGAATTCATGACTTGAAAATTGGTTGGTGGATGGTGGAAAAGAGCCAGAACTTACATTTTGAAATCAAATTCATTTGGATTGAGTGACAGCAGGTCTGTGGTCAATGTATTTGGCATGACTTTCATGCGAGTGACTGGAAGCACCGTTTTCAACGACAATTTTGTGAAATTGTATCGATTGTGCACTCGTGACGGTGATATTCGAGTTCCACAAGATTTCTTCATGTTCATCTCAGGACAAGCGATCAAACTGCACACTTCTTGGCCAGATACTACATTTTTGATGCCATTGTAGTGACGATATCCACTAAATACCGATATCGCATATGAATATGATGACTGAAATGAAGAAAGAATCGATAAAAAATCTTGTTATTCGAAAACAATCGAAGCGTTAACACAACAGCAGACTGTTTCTAGATTACAAAAACTAAATGAAGGTCGATTCAACCAAATTCTCCCATCAAAGACCATATTAATCAACAAACAATGTTGAATTAATTGAAAATTAGATTTTCTCTTCACCTTTCCATCCAATTCGCCATTGTCGCTGACTTCGATGTTGTAATCACAGCAAATGGCTTTGTTGCACACTTTTCCGCTCTGTTTGAGATTTTTGGAGAAGTCCAAAAACGTAACGGTGTATTCAGTTAGGTTATCTTGGTAAAGTTTCATTTCAAACGGATATTTTTTGGGTTGGAAACTGCTTTCATTCGAGTTGATTTTTAATTTATTTTCGATACAATTTCCTTTCGTTGCTTTATATTTTCTCGATGGATAATGTTCAGTTGGCAATGGATCAATGGGAATCTTTGCTATAAGAATTTTTGTTGCCGGTGATTCGCTGACGATTACTTGCAACGCACCCGATCGTCCACTGTAGATTCCACTGCCCGAATACATCATGCTGGGTTCATTGATATTTGCTGCCAGTAAATTTACATTGTTCGCGTACGCCCAACTTTGCTGATATTGAGCGGCTAAAAAGAAAAAAATAATTGAATTTCAAAATTAGAAATCAAAAAAGCCCCACAACAATCTGTTTCTCACCTGTCAAATACGGAATTTCCGAGAACCACATCGTTGGATAAACAAAGTGTTTGACTCCTTGATCGACTAAGCTGTTGGCTGGTTTGTCAAACATTAGATCAAAGCAAACGCACACACCGAATGTTACGTTGAAATCGGTTCTAAATGTTGTTAAATCGGGCGTTTGAGTCTGTTGCACTCCGTCCTCACCGAACAAATGATACTTTCGATACCTTGAGATGAATTTATTTCGATAGAAATTTATTTTTAGATCAATAATTCATTGTGCTACTCCACTTACTTCGCAACCACATCACCGTTGCGATCAAAGAC